ATTTGCTACACTTGGAGATGCAAAAGCCTCAATTAAAATAAATGCTCAAACAATTTATAATGCTTATCAACTTGCCTTAGATCATGCTAGACCAAATGTTTCAACTCCTACTTCGTCTAGTTCGCAATCATCTAAAAGAACTGCGGGCCTAAAAGCCCTTAGTTCTTGGACGGAGTTCCGGGTCAAGGTGATAATATTGGTGATAGTTCACACCTAAATGAGCTTCAAGTTTATTTATCGTAGGAACTTGAATTAGAGAATCCCGACGGCTCTTTCAATGTTTTGGAATGGTGGAAGGACAAACAAAAACACTATCCGGTTCTTTCAAGGATGGCTCGAGATATTTTAAGTGTTCAAGCTTCAATAGTGGCATCGGAGAGCGCTTTCAGTTAAGCGAGATTTCAAATCGGTGATCACAGAGCGTCTATGCGGGAGAGCTTGGAAAAATCAGTACTCTTCAGAGATTGGATCCGTTCGGAAAGAAGAAATTTTGGACAATCACAACTGGAGATAGACGAAGCTTATGAAGAAATGCTAGCGGAACTTGCGCAGGATGCTGCTTCGCTCGGAAATGGTGATGAACAAGCTTCTTTTCCACCACTACCAATGAAAATTCATCCGGACCTTGAAGGATTTATGAGATTTATTAGAGATAATACATAGACTAATATGTAACTTGTATTTTGGCACATCTTTCTTAGTTTTTTTTTTCCTTTTAATGGTGGTATTACTACATTGTTGTGCTCATTCCATTGAGAGGAGGAAGACTAAGAAAGATATTGCCATTTTTTTTAATGTTGTAATAATAAAAAGTATAAGACATTCCCTTGAATATTTCTTTGCAATTTATTTTGTGTTTAAATTTGATATAGTGTGCATATATATATATATATATATATCTANTGAAATTGAGGTATGTGAGGCTAACTCTCTATGTTTGAGAAAGTTAATGATTCTCCCTACACTACGTTTCTTTTATGACGTTACTAATTGCCTCAGAAATATAGTTAAGCCTAGTTCCTTGAACAGTTGTAGAACTTCTATTCTCTAGCTTCATAACTCGCTCATGACTTTCATTCAGAACGTGTGAGCTCGGTGCGTATTCAATATAGACTTGGGTTGATGCTCCCGAGTCTTAGTATAGATTACTCAGTATGCCATATACAGTTGAAATTTCAGTATTCATAATCAGTTCAAGAATACATGTCTCAGTCTAGTCCCATTCAGTATTCTAGTATTATGTAACCCAGTATGATCCAGTATTCCAGTATCATGTAACTCAATGTGATTCAATATTTCACTATCATGTATTGCAGTATGATTCTCAGTTTCTGATTTTAAATTCCTGAATGTTGAACACCTGTATTTGGGCCTGAGGCCGTAGTTTATATGCTTTATGCATACTTGGGCCTGAGGCCGTAGTCTATGCTTTATGCATGTTTGGGCCTGAGGCCGTAGCTTATGTTTTATGCACGTTTGGGCCTGAGGCCGTAATTTATGCTTTATGCATTTTTGGGCCTGAGGCCGTAGTTATGTATACGTATACTTGGGCCTGAGGCCGTAGCTTGTGCACATATATATTGGGCCCGAGGCCGTAGCTTATTCAGATAAACATGTTGTTCATCATTCAGAAGAGGGAGTATTCATATTCTTACTTTCCTTTTTCCAGTTTAGTTATCAGTTATCAGTTATCAGTTCGGTTATCAGTTCAGTTTCAGTTTCAATAGTAATCATTTCAGTTACCAATTATCAATTCCCAGTTATCAGCTTAGTTTCAGTTTTAGCATTTATAATTCTTTCTTTCAGTTGCTTTACATACCAGTGCAATTCAAATGTACTGACGTCCCTTTTGCTCGGGGCCTGCATCTCACGATGCAGGTAATGATTTACAGGTTGACGATTCAGAGTGCTAAGATTCTCGTACCAGCTATTTGGTGATCCCCAATTTTTTCGAGGCATTATCATTACTACAGTCTTCAGTATTTACAGACAGTCAGCGTTTTCAGTACTCAAATAGAGGCTTCATATACTAGAGTATCAATTAGACAGAGTCACAAGCTTTTGTGTTAAGTAATGTTGGCTACAGACAAGTTTCAGACTTGTATTAGTGTTTCCACACTTTGACTTTTATCATTCAGACTTTCAGTATATCAGCATGTGTTAGTTTATCTTTCGCATTTAGTATGTTATGATATCACATGTTGATTCAGCCAGCCAGTTGATTCGCTCGGTCACATGTATCAGGCTCCGAGTGTCGTATTACGTCCAGGTCCAGGTTCGGGGCATGACACTAATTTTGGTTATATAAAATGGAAAAATCGAAAAATTGGTGTAGTACTAATTTTATAAAATAACTGACTGAACTGAACCATTGACACCCCTAATTAGGGGTGTACATAGGTCGGGTTAATTCAGATTTTACAATTACCAAACCAAACCAAATGTGTCGAATTATTAAATCTAACAACCAAACCAAACCAAACCAATAAAACTCGGATTTTTCACTCTCGGGTTTTCTCGAATTTTCAGATTATTCGGGTTTTTTTCCCGGTAAAATCTTCGTAGAACAAAACATATAAATTATGCTCAGAATATTTTTAGTCCTAGTAAGATACAACTATATAAAGTATTGTCCAAGAAAATAATACAAAATATAAGATATGTCATGGCATTAGCCTAAAATATTCAACAATAAAGACAATAAAATTATGTAATATAAATATTGCTAATTAAAAAGCCATAATAGAAATAAACATAATCTAAGAGTACTAAGTCATGCTAAAATAAGTAGACTAATAAGGGAGTATTAAATACATGACTAAACGCTAAAGAAAAAATAAAAATAGGTTATGCATTTTTATCTAAATTATTGCAAAACAAAAAATAGATATTCAATACATTGTCGTTCGTAGTATTGAATTGATTGTCTTTTGTTAGCATTAGTATTGATTTGATTTTTGGTTTGGACTTTTGTTAGCACTATTTAATTTACTAATGTTAATGGCTATAAAGCTTATTGGAACATTCAAATATTCTAAGTCTAACCTTGAAATAATACCTCAAAAAATAAAATTATGAAATCTTTTAAGAAATATTTATAAATTACATCACAATAAGTATATTTATATATTAAATATATCTAAAATTTCTATATATGTAATGTCGGGTTGGTTTGGTTTCGGTTTGACTTTCTTTAATTAAAACCAAACCAAACCAAACCAATTATGGTTGGGTTTTTTTTCCAACACTAAACCAAATCAAACCAACCCATAATTGGATTTTTTTTCTCGGTTTGACTCGGATTATCGGGTTGGTACGATTTGTCGATTTCCTTTGTACACCCCTGCCCCTAATTCCAACACCCACATCCCTCTACCAGTAAAAGTAGGTGATAACACTTACTCATCAAAGCTTAAGACAGAAAGAGAAAAATCAATTAAGTTTTTTAATTATATTCAATCGCAAACATAATCTTTACCGTCTTCATTCAAACTTCATCAAACATCAATTGTTAAACTATGCCCGCAAGTACAAAACTAAAGTTACATCATACATATAGCTCTAATAAAGGGATTCCTTAGAGTGACTTTTTTGAAATAGTTAACTCTCAATAAAACGTTGGTTTTAATAGAATCTCTCATGTAAAAGCACCTTCGTAGAAGATTTTGAAAATTGTAATCAAATACGCACTAGTAATGCAGCATTTTATGCCAGAAACTAGAATTTCACGGCAGAATAGTGCTTGAGAAAGATCTCTTATGATCCGTTGAAATTTGAATAGAAGAAAATTAAGTTCTAAAATTTCATCTTTAGTTGGGGGTTTCGATTCAGAAAAATATGATGCGACTAGTTCAAATTCAATGGAGGATGATCGAAGAGACCAAAATTCTGATCTCTTCTCTATGGCGAGAGGTTTTTCTTGTATCAAGAGTTTGTTGGGGAGGCCAGGGAAGATAGATTCGATCGAAAGGCAACGCTTATGCCTCTTCTTATCGATAGGATTCCCGCCATTATTAACCCTACAAAAATATGTTACTATGTTTTATTTACCAATCTCATGAGTTATATTTTATTGATCTCCAATGAGAATCCTATCGATAAAATAACGTTTTAAATGGAATATAAGACCAGTCTGCCCAGTTTTTTAGTGCAAGAAACTAAATGAACCATAAAAATTTGAATAGAAGAAAATCGGGTTCTAGAATTTCATCTTTAATTGGGGGTTTCGATTCATAAAAATATGGTGCGAGTCCATCTCTCTCTTGACTAGTTCAAATTCAAGGGAGGATAAAAATTTAATTCTCCTCTATGGCAAGAGGTTTTTTTTCGTATCAAGAGTGTGTTGGGGAGACAGATTCAATCGAGAGGCAATGCTTATGCCTCTTCTTATCGATAGGATTCCCATCATTAATAATCTTACAAAAATATGTTACTATGTTTTATTTACCAATCTCATGAGTTATATTTTGTTGATCTCCTATGAGAATCATATCGATAAAATTACATTTAAAATGGAATATAAGACCAGTCTGCACAGTTTTTTTAGTGCAAGAAACTAAATGAACCATAACTAATAAATATTTGGATCAAAAGGTAAAATACGGAACCTAGGCCTCCCCTATCTTGACAGCAGGTGACTTTAGGTATATGTCATTGAGAATTTTCAATTCTGCGTTAGAAAACAGAACACTCAACGAGATTAACTTACTGTTATAACTTTGTAATAATATTAGTTTTAATAACATTACCAGACGAACAAAATTCAAGTATTATAATAAATCGTCAACTCATTCTAGTTCTATGACCAAAAAGATAATACTACTATATTGAATGATAGCTTAAAGATTTGGACTTCCTTGAAAATAACTTATGGTTTGTATTAAGAAACCTTACCTTTGAAGAAAGGAAAGCGAAACGAACCATTTTTCCTCTGGCATACATCAACTTGGTTAGCTTATGGCTCCTAAGAAAGGCATCTTCTTATCTGTAGGGAATAGGAATAGAATCACAGGAGAAAAAAATAAATAAAAGAGAGAATACAGATCAAGGGCAGGAAGCCCTCATATATACATAATGATTTTCAGTAACATTTGTGGTGACTAAAGAAGAGAAAAATGAAATTCCTGTTGCAGCTTCCTTGCTGTTTGTGTTTCTGCTTCATCAAGCAGAAAAAAGGAAAGTCGAAGGAGAAGGAACCGAAGGAAAATTGAAAGAGCTGTTCAGTTCAGGAGCATTTTACAGGACCTTGGTTGGAGGATAGCATATATTGAGCACAGGATTTACGTCGCCCATTCTTTTTTTTCTCTAACAAGAAGGTCAAGGTCGAGCTTTCAATCATCATGATAGTACCGTGCAAAATGTAATACTCTTGGAAACGTCATGACATGTAATGATAAAATCTGATTATAAAAGCATCAACTGGTTTTCTTGCTTTTATCTTCATCTCTGGGTGCTAAGCCTATTTCCTCCATTTGATGTTCAACAGAAACAAACCCAGTCTCTGCTAGAAACCTAAAGGAGAAAAAAACTATGCATTAAATCTTTGCAGTAAATTCAACTATTGTCATGTGATTGAATAATATAATTGTTCATAGGAGCAAGTGAAACTTAAATTTAGTAACAATGCAAAAAGCTGGATGCTATGTTGAATAAGTAGCAGTTTTACACACTGTAGGCAAAAGCAGGCCTGCCACACCCAGCAACTGCGGTAAGGGGGAAACGAGAGAGAGATAGCAGTTTCTTTAACTCCAAACTACCATGAAAGTTGACAGTTAATTTACAACAAAACTATGTTAAACAGTTTCTCTAATGACCTAATGAGTTACTAACAAAAAATTAAAAAAAAAAAGGAAGTGACCAAATGAATTCCATAACTTGTTTTTAATAACCAAGAAATTGCCGAGAGCGAGTGGAGCACGGTTCGAAACTCGATGAATGGTGGGTTCCGTCCCTCTACCTTTCTCAACTTAAATACCAGACTCTTGTCTATTGTAGGGTCGAAGTCATGATGTGTGCCTTACTCACATGTCAGATGCTGCGCTCTTACCACTAGGCCAAAGCCCCGGCGGGCCAAAATGAATTCCAGGACTGGATGAAGCAAATTACTCATCCAAAATAACACACATGATTTTAGACTGCTCCACACTGGAATGAATGAGGCTAGCACAAGCTTCACAACTATTTTCTTTGACGAGTTGTGACAATGTGAAACAATTTGGATTCAACAAACTACAAGATAGCAGAATGTAATCTTAGCTACTTGATCAGCTACTGACCTAGATTTGTAAAATAAGAGCTGAAAGTCAAACAACTATTCAATCTTAACTTAGAGGTTTGTCCTTTACTTGCATTTACAACAATCAGAATGCATTTTCACCTCAGACTCAATCAACATATCAGATTCATGTCCAATATCGGAAACAAGGCAAGTTATCTCCCTTTCTCACCATTAACCAGAGGTTTGATCAGAAGATTCTCAGATTTCAAAATTGAAATTTTCAATAACAGAACATTAAAGTTTCAACTTTCTACAAAAGAATATCAAGTCAGAAAAGATTTTCTAGTCCAACAGTTTTACTACTACACTACGCAACAAGGTCAAACACACATTAATGAACAATCTAATTAACAGACAACAAGACCATGTCAGCTAACAAACAATGTTTAGTTTCTCCATAGTACTTTTGACTTTCCCAGTTAATATTTGTGTCTCTGCATTTAGTAGCAGCAGATGATCCACGGAGTCAAATCACCTCGTAATAACGGGTTACATATTTATTTATATAAATCCTTTAATCTAGCAATACAAGTTTAGGTAACAAATTCCAAGTGCATTCACATGTAGGCAAAAGTAACAATACAAAAATAGAGCTCAAATGTCAACATTGAACGATAAAAGCTGAAACACACCTGCTAAGAAGTACGAAGAGGGTTCCAGTTATTAAAAAGAGGAACGCAACATGGAGAGTCAAAGACAAGTCACTTGAGGAAAAAGCCAAGCCCAACATAACAGCAAGACACAAACCCAGCATAAAAAATGACATCTTTAGCGTATTCCAAGTAGGAGCCTGAATCCAAAAGCAAAAAAACAGTAACTTGAATCAATGAATTTAAAGTTTAATTGAATTGTAAATAAAAGAACAAGAACAATGAGGAGAAGGGGGAAATTGTACAGACGTTGACTCCTGGAGCCAAAGCTCCCACTAATACTGCTTGTGCTGATGATACCTCTTCTCTACTTGATTCTTTCGACTCCATTTTTTGTGATTTTGAGAGTGATGGGATCTGATTGCGATTTTTTTCTTAACCTCCAAAAACAGGAATAAAATAATGAGGAAGATTTGGGAATTGTGATACCCAGTAAATTGGATCAGCTACACTTGGGCCCAAACTAACTCAGGCCCTTTTCTGAAGAATTAATCCAAATAGCCGACCACCCGATCACTTAAACAAAAAATAGTCGGTGAGTAAGAGTGGCAGATGGACGGGTCGGGTCGAATATGGTTCGGGTCAAATGGGTAATAAAAAACGGGTAAATTATCCGATTCGACCCATATTTAATACGAATAAAAAACGGGTTAACCGGCGTAATATGGGTAACCATATTATCCATCACTTTTTGGGAGAATTCTTAGTCTCCCTAACTTGAGGAGCCCCTAATTTTGAGACTTTATAAATGTAAAAGTTAGACTCATTGGTTATCCATTTTATAAATGGATAATATGGTTCTTATCTATATTTGACCTGTTTTTAAAAAGTTCATTATCCAACCCATTTTTTAGTAGATGCTTAACTGTTTTCTTTTAACCATTTTGTCACTCATACCGGTGAGATATAATATATGCATAATTTATGTATTATATGTGTATAAGTGGATATAATCAATGTATTATCTATGTATATGGCTAGAAAAAGTAAACAATGAATATGTCCAATTATTTGCGTGAAGATCTTATTTTTTGACTTCTTAACCAATGAAAAAGGATGAAAACAAAAGAAGAGAAAGATAAATTACATGCTTTGTTTTTTCACATGAATTTTATTTGAAAAAGAAAAGGTTAAATTGTTCTAGTGAAACTCATTATTTTACTTGAAATAGTCCTCACATAATTTTTTTCAACTAAAAATTCTTTATTTTAAATTGAAGTAATATTTCAAGCGGTGTTTTAAAAGGCTTTCTTGGGACTCGTCACGGGGTGCTATTGCACTGAGGCTCACATGTGGGACTTAGTTCCGAGATTTGCGCCCCAAGTGCCCGTTCGTCCGCCCAAGATAGGGCTAACGTTCATCGCTTAGAACTTGCCTACCAATTCCTAACGCTATCATGCTTCAAATTTCCTAATTAGCACTGTTGATCCTAAAAAATATTTTAAAAAAAAATAAAATAAACGATTCAAGTTCTATTCATCTCTAGAAATATGAAGATCAAGAGTAACCCAAAATAATGAGCCAGAGTATTGCGTATTTACCAATTGAGAACATTGAAGATTGAATATCATTTGAGTAGTGAAAATTTATAATTTTTCTATTATAAACAATTGTATTTACTCATAAAGAGCAATAATTAAATTACAAAAATTGATGATGTTTACTGATTATTAACTATTAGAGAGATAATGTCACGACCCCGGTACGCCCTCCGTGAACCATCGTGACGACACCTAGTCTCTACTACTAAGTAAGCTTAAATTGCGGAAGAAAAACCAAAATTTGCGGAAGTAAAACAATTTAAAAACAGGAATAAAGTAATAATAGTGTTTAAATGTGTCACTCGGCATACACCATGTTTAACTCTCAATACCAACACATAAATCTAAGACCCGGAAACCCATGAATCACAAGCTAAGATCAATACTACATAGCTATAACTCCGGAATGTCTAATAAGAACAGAAAAAAAATGCAGAAGGGCTAAATACTAAAAGCAGGAATAGAAAGGGACTTCTCGGTCTGCGAATGCGACAGATGTACCTCGAAGTCTCTAGAGCGTTCGCCTCCTCAAGGATGATAGGCTTGAGTAGCGGTATCTGGATCTGCACATGAAAATCATGCGCAGAAGAGGCATGAGTACAACACAGCGGTACTCAGTAAGTGCCAAGCCTAACCTCGGTTGGGTAGTGACGAGGAAGGTCAGGGCCCTACTGAGATTAAATAAATATAAAGATGGCAGTATAAGATAAGCAGTACAATTGAGAATCTACAGTAAGAATCTACACATGATAATAAGACTACAATAACGGAAACAGAGATGAAGGCAAATCACAAGGAAGTACCACTCATAACAAGGATGATAACTGGGGATCTCTTGGTATTCCGAGGATCTCTTGGTATCCTCAATATATGCTAGGGATCTCTTGGTATCCCGAGGATCTCTTGGTATCCATCAATATATGCTACGGATCTCTTGGTATCCCGAGGATTTCTTGGTATCCTCAATATATGCTAGGGATTTCTCGGTATCCCGAGGATCTCTTGGTATCCTCAATATATGCTAGGGATCTCTGGGTATCCCGATGATTTATTGGTATCCTCAATATACGTGCCAGGGATCTCTTGGTATCCCGCATCTCAGTTCAAATCATAAATACATACAGGGGATCTCCCGGGATGCCATCCCGTAGTCCCAAAGTAAAAACACACAGCAACAACACAAGAATACTCAATTAAGCTAAATTTCGTACCAAGTAAATAGTTAATTCTAGCCTAACATGCTTCACGTAATGCAATTAAAGTAGCTTAAGTAAATAGGCAATTAAGTCAACTAAACATGCTTTTCTAAACTAGCAACAGGCTAAATTCACAAGTAGAATAAAACAAGAAAAAAGAACTCAATTGAAATACTTAAGGAAAAATCGGATTTTCAACAATTGGCTCAAGTACGCGCTCGTCACCTCACGTACAAGATATTTCAATTATCAAATATATCATATCCTAAGGGGAAGGTCCCCCGCACAAGGTTAGACAAGCCACTTACCTCGAACCGGCTCAATAATCAACCCGAAATCACGCTCTTGCCACGAGTACTTGACTCCAAATAACCCAAATCTATTCAATCCAATCGCATAATGTAAATAACACTTCGAGTAACTGATTCTACAATTAAATTCTAAGCTAATACGCGAAATTATGTAAAATAACCAAAATGCCTCTCGGGACCACGTCTCGGAATCGAGCAAAATTTATATTTCCAGAATCCTTACACTCTCACGAGTTCAATCATACCAAAAGCATCAAAATTGGACCTCAAATGGTCCCTCAAATCATCACTCAAAGACCTCCAAATTAGTCAAGCCCTAACCCCAAATTACCACTGATTTTCCATAATTATTCATGCTTAAATTGATAAAAATCATTCCAATAACGAGTTTCGGGACCAAAGACCTTACCCCAATGAACTCCTCTGAAAATCCCTCTTGAAAAGTGCTCTCTAAGCTTCTTCCCGTTTTGAAAAAAGATGAAAAATGGCTAAATTTCGCGAAGGCAAGAATTTATATGTTCTGCCCAGTGATTTCCGCATTTGCGGCCCTGGGACCGCATCTGCGGTCCCGCTTCTGCGGAGCCAAGGTTGCATCTGCGACTTTTTATTAAATGGCCAATTTCTGCACCTGGGGTCTCCAACTCGCAGATGCGGGTCCGCTTCTGCGGAAAATCCCCCGCATCTGCGGGTCCGCTTCTGCGGAAAATCCCCCGCATCTGCGGGACCTGCTGACCTCCCTCAATTTCACTTCTGCGGCGCCACACCTGCAGAACCCAAACCGCATGTGCGGTTATGACAGAACCAGCAGCTGAAGCAGCAACTTAAATTCAAAAATCTTTCCGTCAACCATCCGAAATCATCCCGAGGCCTTCGGGACCTCAACCAAAGGCACCAACAAGTCACAAATCGCTATCCAAACTGGTACCAATCCTTAATACACCTAAAACAATATCGAAACCTCGAATTAACCATGGATTCAAGCCTAAGAACTCCAAAACTCTCAAAATACGCTTTCGATCAAAAAGTCTATCAAACCTCGTCCGAATGACCTGAAATTTTGCACACACGTCACATTCAACACTACGGAACTACTCCAACTTCCGGAATTCCATTCCGACCCTCGGATCAAAATCTCACTATCGGACCGGAACTTCAAAAATTCAACTTTCGGCATTTCAAGCCTAATTTAGCTACGGACCTTCAAAACACAATCCGAACACGCACCTAAGCTCGAAATCACCCAATGGAGCTAACGGAACCATAAGATTTCTATTTCGAGGCCGTCTTCATACTGTTCTGACTATGGTCAACTTTCTAACACTTAAGTTCTCATTTAGGGACTAAGGGTCCCAAAACTCTCCGAAACTCGACACCGAACATCCTGACAAATCAAAATAGCAGAATTAAACTTGGAGAAAGCAGTTAATAGGGGATCGGTCCGTTAATTCTTAAGAAGACCGGCCGGGTCGTCACATCCTCCTATACTTAAACATTCGTTCGTCCTCGAACGAGCATAGAGACATACCTGAAGTAGTGAAAAGATGAGGGTAACAACTGCACATATCCTGCTCGGTCTCCCAGGTTGCTTCCTCAACCGGCTGACCTCGCCACTGAACCTTCACTGATGCAATGTTCTTTGACCTCAGCTTTCTGACCTGCCTGTCCAATATTGCCACTGGCTCCTCAACATAGGATAGATCTTTGTCCAATTGGACTGCACTAAAATCCAACAAGTGCGACGGGTCACCGTGATACCTCTGGAGCATCGAAATGAAATACCGGATGAAACCCTAGCAAGCTGGGAGGTAAGTCAAGCTCATAAGCAACCTCCCCAACATGCCTCAATATCTCAAAAGGGCCAATAAACCTCGGACTCAACTTCCCTTTCTTCTCAAACCTCATAACGCCCTTCATAGGCGAAACCCGAAGTAGAACCCACTCTCCAACCATATAGGAAACATCGCGAACCTTCCGATCCACTTAACTCTTATGTATGGACTGGGCTGTACGGAGTCTATCCTGAATCACCTTAACCTTCTCCAAAGTATCCTGAACCAAGTCTGGGCCCAATAGTCTAAACTCTCCCGGCTCAAACCACCCTACCGGAGATCTACACTGCTTACCATATAAAGCCTCATATGGTGCCATCTGAATGCTAAACTGATAGCTGTTGTTGTAAGAAAACTCCGCCAATGGCAAGAACTGATCCCAAGACCCTCCAAACTCAATCACACACGCACGGAGCATATCCTTAAGAATTTGAATAGTGCGCTTGGACTGTCCGTCCGTCTGAGGGTGAAATGCTGTACTCAACTCCACCCGAGTACCCAACTCATGCTGAACGG